TTTTTCTCTTTATTTATGTGTCACTCAGTTGGGTATCAAATAAGTTTTGCCCCTTAAAATTGACCCCTACCCCCAAATGAAATTTTTTTAAATTTGTTTTGAGTAATGCATCATTTGAAAGTGGACTTAGAGAAAAGATATTTAGTGCTTCCTTTCTATCACCATTTTCAAATGGTAACCTGATCAAGTTGAAATTTTTTAAACTGTGGCTGGCAGCCATTATGAAATGGTGGATGCCAGAAACTTCTGGTTTGTGCTAGTATCCCTCTATTTTTGTTCTCTATTCAATAGTGTATTACAGAAGGGTGGTTGCCTCCCAAATATGTTGAGTTTGAAATCACCTAAGCGCCTAGGGGCACAAGATTCACCGCCCATAGATTAAGACGGGCAGTGGCCGAGTCATCAAAGGCGTCAACTGCGCCTGCGCACTCCGAGGTTTTGGGGTTCGATTCCTGACTCCTCGGCTACTCAAATTATGACCAGCTGCTTATTATCATTCGTTGTTTTACTGCAATGTTTCATTAATCAGTCATTGCATAACACGTCCTTTTGACTTCAAAGTTTTCTCTTTATTCATTAAAAAAAAAACAATTATTTCATTCTTAAAGTAAAGTATACCTCATATCGTCATTTTTTAGGGAAAAAATAAAACCAACATTAATAAGAGGGTAACAATAGGGCCGCGAAGCGGCTCACTGATGGCGCGGAGCGCTCTCAGGGGGTTGGGCCACGTAGCAGCCAAGAGGTGTAGCCCCCTAGTAAAGGAAAAATATTCACAACTTTCCTGAAAAATAAAGCTTTTATTGAAGGATATGTGCCAACTCTCGAATGTTCATACGGCCTTCTTCCTTAGCACGGCAGAAGTGTGGTTGAATCAACCATACCTCTGGCTGTAGAAACCCCACCTCCCGCTGCCGCTGAAATCAGCCAGAAACTTATGTATTTGAAAGTATCACACTTCTTTTCCCACACATTGCTTCTATTATCCATAGAATAATTTTTTCCCGTCGAAGTTTGCATGAATTTACCTCTATTATTCATGTTTTTATCTTTCTTTCTTTCTTTCTAGTTTTTTTTCTTCTTTTTTAATTTTGATTCTGAGCATTTAATATTGTCCTTGACAAATTTAACTTCCTAACAGACAAACTCCTAATCAGAGCTAAGAGCTTGAAACACAATCCCATTATTAGGAATATAAAGATGCTTGAGAGATCAATCATGTCATGTAAGTATTGGGTTAATAAACAACACCCACTTTTTCTTAATAGATGGTTCCTGAGAAAAACTTAAAAACCAAAATCTTACAAAGTGATTTACCATGATCACTTACGAGAGATCCTGCCTTCCAATTTTTCCAACCAAATACCATCTTTCTCGAATCTTCGAAAAATCGTCTAAAATTGCATACTTTACGATTGTAAAGGTCAAAATCCCAAAATTACATTTTTAAGTTAACTTGTGTGCTTTTTTCCAATTTTTGAGGAAAAACAATTTCTTTTAAAGATATTTTCCATCTAAATTTTAATAGGAGGATGATCTTTCTTATTCCTATGATGATATCAAAACCAAGCAAAATCGGCGGAGCCGTTTTTAAATGGCGAGTTTTAAAAGTGCCGCATCGTGGGTCACGGGTGATAATTTTTCGGAGAAACTGCTCGTCGCACAATGGGTGAGAGGCAAACAAATTTTGGAAAAATTCCTTGTCGTTCACTAGGTCATTGATAGAACGTTTTTGGGCAGGCTTTTGTTACACAGAGGGTCAAAGGAAGAAACTTCTTGCACGAACTGTTTTTATTAACAGACATAGGTGTACACAAGAAACACATAGGTATTAAGTTTGAACTTAGAGCTAATCTAACATTAGTTTGTAGATTAGCTCTAAGTTTAAACTTAACACCTATGTAATTAACGTCCCGTAAGGGACAGTAGTACATTTTTATTTAGTAAAAAAAAAAAAAAAAAAAAAAAAAAAAACTGTTTCTAAATATTTCTTATAGAAATTGTTAACTATCAATTATGCCACACTAAAACGATGGCTGAGTTGAATTTTATTCCTCGGAAAATACACTCTTCTCGTGGTGGATGCACGGGTCCCACCAAAACGAGCAAAGCAACTAAGCCTTCCCAACCACACTAAAAATGCGCGCATATTGGAGACGAAGCCTGGCGCTGAGCACCGTTTCTTTAATATTCCTCACTCTCTAGACTTAGCCTTTGTATGCACAGTCTTCAAAAAGTCGAGCTCCCCCCCCCCCCCCCCCTTTCGCGCGCAAAAAAGTTGAATTTGACTCTTATTAAATCCAGATTGAATGTTCAAACCGTGCAAAATAAATTTTGAGGGATTCTTGAGAGTAGCTGAGTTCAGAAATTACAGATACTTCCAAAAAATTCCCTTTTTAAAATTACAGCTCCGTAGTGTTACTGTAGAGGTCCACCGAGCGCCGATCGGCCGCTCAATAGGCCTGCACGGAGCTGTAATTTTAAAAAAGTGAATTTTTTGAAAGTATCTGTAATTTCAGAACTCACCGACCCTCAAGAATCCCTAATAACTTACTTTGCACAATTTGAATATTCAATCTGTTCCAAATCCAGGTTTGGAACCATAGTTTGACGCGCAAAAATTGGTCGGCGCGCGTTATGTGGAAGCTTCAATCATCCATAACTCTCGAACCCATCTGTTCCCCAGCACGGTGCGCCTAAAGTGACTTATCGAGAACTTTGAATGTGCATCAAAAATTCAAGTTGGAGGTTGTAGAGAGGCACTCCCTGACGGGTTTTTGGGCAATGTCGAAATAGGTCATCGGAGCTATCGGAAAAATAATCGCATTTTTGTGGTCTTTTAGGGGTAAAATAGCAAACTGGGCATGGGGTGACAAATTCAACCTCTTCTCCCTCATCCTTGCCGTGACCGATCTGAATTTTTAGTATGTTTTTACCTGGTAAAAGAGGTTCCTAAAATGTTCATGCCCGTACAGAATTGTTTGCCTCCGGTGGCAGCCTTGTCGAGTTGCAGACTCCAAAATATCGACTTTGATGATAAAAGAAAGGTTTCGAAGTGTGATTTCCATGCAAAATCAAAAATTCGAATCGTAGGTTGTAATAGGGTACTCCCTAATGGGTTTTTGATGGGATGAGTCGGAGAAAAACGAGCGGTTTGGGTTGACAGAAAGTTCTCAAATCCACTCCATCAACAGAAAGTAGAATTTGAGAATTTTCTCATACTCTCCCAATCTCATCCCTGTTGCAGTCAATACTTTGAACATCCCATAATGGTATAATTTTCATGATACCTAAATGTATAGAGTACAGAGGAATCATAATGACCGATTCTGAACGAAATAAAAATCCAGCGCTTGAGGTTGCAACGCGATTCGGATCATTCTGACAAATTTTAAATCGTAAAGCTGGCAACACCGCAATTCTAAATTATTTGAATATGCCTTTTCCAATCGAAAACTCTCAGATTGCACATTTCTCAGAATGACGAAATTCACCAAATGACCCAATTGGTTTTAAACTTTACAGAAGCATGTTCGTAATGTATTAGCACCTATTGGGAATCGAGGAGCTAAACTTTTTCAGCATGTGAACGAGCCGCTCCCTAGCTAGCCTTCAATAGTTTATAGACAATCACCTGTAATGGAGTTCTCGCATGCGACAGATTTTTTTCTTTAATCAAATATTCACTTTCAATATTTCCAGAGACACTTTAGTCTAATTTAAAATCAACATAGGCTCTTGAGGTTGAGATCGAAGTGGAGAAGCACCTTCAACTCTACAGGAGAGCCCTCCTCTATATCCAGTCAATATCTCTATGCACTGATGACAGTGATAGAAGGATGTGCAGCATAATTAGCTGTAATTAAGAATACTTCTTTCTTCATTATCCTCCCAGATTGAACATAGATGCGCTTGAGGATTCTGGCCTGATTTTGTTATATTCTGATGTGTTCTTGCCTTCTTTGAAATTTGTTGCTTAGTGCGTGTATGATCGAAGTCCAGTCACAGGTTAGAAAAACTCTAAATCACAGCTTCTTCATTATCCCAATGGATGTTGATATAGAAAGCTTCCAGGATCCTTATGATGCCCCTGAGTCAAATTATTTCATATTTCGACACTTTTATTTTTGGCCCTAGTACCGCTATTGGACATTTCAGATATTTGGACTTGTTTTAGATATGGACTGTTTTGACATTTTTTCCTATTACCTTAAAGCATTCCTGAAAGCAAGAGGTACAGCCTAACCGTTATCTTGGCCAGTCTAGCCAGTCAGCTGACTGGGATCCCAATCTGTTTCTTTCAGGGCATAGCAAGAGACTTGGTCTGGCAGCTGTCTTGACTGGTCTCGCCAGTCAGCTCATTTTCACCTTCTTATCTCTTCTTCCTCTGGCGGTCTCTTTTCTTTTTTCCCTTCTTAGGATATTTCATTTGGAAGGGTGGTTGGCCAGCTTTGTTACCATATTCTTCTTCATTCAAGAAAGCTCCATCTTACATAAAAATCAACGAACATTGGAAAAACGAAAGACAAATAGAAACATAACAACAGTTATCTGGGGCTGGCTTGATTAGAAACGCTGGAAGATTCGGACTAAAGGGAGGGTAAACAGCAAATTTATCCCTGGTGAGATATTTGAAGTGAAAAAAACGAAAAAAAACCTTTTAACATCATCCTGTCAATGAGGGAAACTTTTCCTTTCAGTAAAACACATATCACACCCCCTTTTCGGCTATTGAGTGGTAATGTTCACCAAAAAAAAGCGTCTTAAATTAAAGAATTGTTTAACACAGATTGAAAAATGTCGGAGTTAAACCACTATTTTGATTAGCAGGTATTAGCATTAGATTTTCAGGTATGCAGTTGTCTACTACATCTACATTCTGAGTCTTTTGGCACTTGAGGTTTCTTTATCTGTGAACAGGCATAGTTGACAAGTACCTATTTATATTATTCTCATTTATAATTTTCATTTTGCTTAGTGTGATACTGAAAGAGACTTACGTAAGATCAGAGACCACTCTAACCAAGAGTGAAAATGCCTCTCTGGCTGCTCGTTGTCTACTCAGCTCAGGTGAACGACTAAAACGCTGATGTCTTTCAACTAATTTATCTACTAAGTCTAAAGGAGAAATAAACGTACGATATGTTGTCAAAAATGCTTCTTGATAAAGAAAATCTGAAAAAATAAAAAATTTAATACCTGTTATATTTCATGAAAAAACTCTCTTACCAATGTCTTTCAAGTTTATCGCTGTCTCAGTTCGGTAAGACTTTAAAGTTCACTCCGCTCATAAAAATGAACACTTGGGGGGGCTTCCTAGAATTACGGCGTATGCTGGAATGACCACCTCCATACATATGGGTGAATATTCTTCCCATTCGTCCGTTCAAATTATTGTACCCTTAGGTATCGCTGATAGTGATGGCAAGTCAATCTCTTGATTACTCGGCTAAAGAGTACAAATTTAGAGCAGTGAGGTCAGACCGAGCAATTAGTGTACGGAGTAACCACAGATACAAGTACTGGGTTTTCGCACATAAACATCACTTCATGTTACATGACAGTTAAAAAGAACTAATTTGAGTTTATAATAAATTAAGTAGCCATTTCATTTTGAAATTGGGTGTCGGGAGGAATGAATACCTGTCAATGCAAATCTATGCGCGTTCTGCTGCCCGTCAACGCAATCAGGCGCTTCATTAACACCACAGGGCCTTCATTTTGCATTGCATGGAGTTCTATGTCGGCTTTAAAGCATCAGTTGTATTTCTTAAACAATTAATAAGCCATTTAACCTTCAGATTAGGTACAGTGAAATAGACAAAGGAAGAGAATGTTGTAGCCATGATACCTTAACTTTATTGGTTGAGCGTATTCTGAGAAGCGCTTTTCGGTTCACATGGCAATCTTCGGACAATGCCGAAAACTGAACACAGAATAAAATAAAACAATAAACTGAAACGTAGAGCATATTTTGAAAGTATCATACATATAAAATCTGAACTTAAAGCTGGTACAAAAATTAGAGATCATCACAGAGACGGAGAGGATAAGTTGAGTGATCAGAGCCGAGAAAAACAACTAGGAATAACAAGATGCACTGCATTACTACTAGCGCCATCTACGGTGAAGACATGCAATTCACAAGATTTATAAATAGTTCAATCAATAGTTACAAGGGTGGATTGCAACAGGAGTCAATGAGAACATTACCCACTAAATTTAAATCTAGTTATACAGTTAATAGGGTTTTATCATCAATCATAGCCACACGAATTTCAAACATTTCCAATGTTCTCAAAATATTATGGTCTGTGATGGTATGACATGCAGATACATTATTGTCTATTGTGTGGTTCTCTTTTATTAATATGCTCGTACACGTTCGAATTGTCTTCAGATAATGCTCAATTAATCTCGTATGTACTGAACGCTCTGTTTTCCCTGTAAAAACTGCTGGGCACGAGCTACATTTAATTTTGTATACACTTGCCTGATCAATTCTATCCAGAGGATGTCCACTACTACTTTCAATTGCATGTATACAATTGGCTCTTGTTCGGATTCCTAGTACAGAACCAAATTTTTAGAAAATGTTTCCAATTTCATTACTTGCCTCATTATAATAAGTAAGAGGAAGGAATGTTCTAATACTAAGTAAAACCAACCCAAAGATCTCATTTGAGGCATTGGTACACAGATTTATTCTTCATTAAAAATAGGCGTGCATTATCATTCTAGGTGGCGGTAGCTACCAATCAGCCAATTCAGCCCAATCCTAAAAAACTCCCCCTAAAAGTTGACAACCAAAAAAAAATACCCGTAATCGCTTCGTAGCGATATCCGCCGGAGCGATTCGCTTAGGCAAGCCCTGGAGGTATCCCTTGGAGGTCTTCACCGCGCTTCAAGCGCACAGCCTGAAGACGCCGCGCCCACCGTCGCGGATTGCCTGCCCATCAGGCTACCATCGCCTGGTCCAGCCAGCTCAAGCGCTCTGATGAGCTTCCATCTCCGGCTTACAACCCGGAGCTGCTCTCCGTCCTGAGCGCTTGAAATCACGTGCCTGCGCGCGCACCTTATAAGAGATCATTACCTACTTAAAGCTTTTTAGAGACAAACTTGACTTTATTAACCAAATTGTTAAGTTCTGACTAGGAATAACTTCAACCATGATGAGTATAAATCTATGATTAACATCACACACACAACAACCTAAACATTCATAACATTTCATTCATTTCATTTTCATTCATTACATTTCTAAACATTGCCCAAAGTAAACTTGAACTCCAAATCGAGTAGCTGAGAAATTTAGCTGAGGATGGCTGTGTAAGCCGAGAAGAGCTTCACAGCATGTGTTTATCAATCAAATTTTAAGTATAATGGCAACAATATTCTCTTCAATTGTCTATTTCACTACGTTATATTATAATTATGTAGATACCTCAATTTACTAGTAAGTTTGAGACTAGGTGGTGGGTGGAATAACCCCCAATAACAACATATTTTAAATGAACAGTTTCAAAGTAAAAACTGACATATTTTCTAAAATGCACGACGGATCATCCAAAGGGTGTAACCAATTATTAAAAAATGCTTTGGTAACTTTCCGTCCTCACGAACTCAGCAATGCATCTATTGATAAAAACGTCAAATGCGATTTTCTCACAACTAGGTTTTCTGCTAAAAGTGGTTATTCCAGCAAATGCCTCAATACATCATGGTCAGGATTGGGTTTTTTAACCCTTGGGTCTCCTCATCACACATGTCCAGACACCCTCCTTAAGATTACATTGCCCTAACCTCATCCCAACCTAATTTTCTAAAATCGAGACTTTTCAGAAAAATCTATACAATTTGACTAATTTTTTGCCGTCACTAATTGATGGGGAAACAGCAGAGAGACAAAAATAGGATGACAAACACACCCACAAATGAGGTGCTGTGAACATGCTGTACTGCTTTTCAATGTGAAAATAATTGAATGTATTGAAACAAACTCTAAAATTATATTATTCATTGCTGTATGATTGAATAAGTACTCAGTTTTTCAGGTTGGAGAGGGAGAAAAATGTCATTAAATGTGATGCTGCTTTAAACTCATTCATTCCGTTCACCTTGAATATTTACGTGAAAAGTGGTTGGTCCATTTAAAGATCTGAATGCTCCAGTTTTGTTTCTTTTATTTCTTGACAAGATTTTGGCATTATCATACTCTTTTCTTGATCTTCTATATTTACTTTGTGTTGTTGTCAGCACTTGTGAGAAGAATCGATTATGGCTTATCCCAGCAATGTAAAAATCAAACTGCTCCAAGTATCTTTTACTCCAGATCTACAGGATGGATTTTATTGAAAAATGTAAAGATTGTTCTCTTTAAGCCGCATATCTTGAAAAATTTTCTTTCATATGACACGTATTCCCTTGGATTTATAAATTATTTTGGATTTATTATATTTTGACATACAAATTTTAATTGACTTCCTCATGATTAGGTAATAATTATTATAAAGGTAATAATTTTTAAAACTTGAGGGAAAGAAATTAAAAGTAAAGCTCTCTGATCGAATTTATGATTAAAAAAATTACACATCAAATGAGAGAGGACGTTCTAAGGAATCAGGCAGGAAAAAAAAATTAAAATCCATTCAGTAGATCCTACTAGACTAAGGGTGTGGCGTCAATTTGGTATCCCACTTGGATATGGACGAATTTTTTAGAAATCAACAGAACTTTTCATTCCAATTCTGAGCACCTACATCTGCAAGGCTGCAGCTGTTTCTTTCGGCCGCAATACGGCTTGAAGGTGCAAAAATACGACGGCTGAAAGCAACAACTCCGGTCTTACAGACTTACACTTTTCTGTATCAGGATGAAAAGCTGTCGATTTTCAAAAAATTGTCCATTTAGTGGGACACCAAACTGACGCCGACCTCCCCCTCTATAGTGGGGTCGCTTAGGGTCAAAAATCACTAAAATATTTCAAATTGGACTATCAGCATGAAACTTGGTGAAAATGTAGTTTTAGGTACCTAGAATAAAAATCTGTCGGGACCCAAGGTGGATCTCCCAGGCTTCCCCGTATTTTTTTCCAAGATGGCCGCCATAAGCTGATTTCCATTATTATCTCATTTCCGAAAGTTGTTGGCTGAGTATCGGAAATGGGGCCTCGAGGTGAAAGTCAGCAAAACCGAGAAGTTGACCGTAGGCGGGAATCAGCGAAGTATAGAATTAGAGGATGAGCGGCAAATTAGAAGCTGCGATATTTACAAATATTTAAGGTGATTCTGACCCAGGATGGAAGATTGAACCAGGCCATGAAGAAGAGGAATATGCAGGGTAGAAAGGCAATCGCTATGTTAAATGGAGTCCTTTGGGACCAAAGGATCTCCAAAGAGAACAAAAGAAGGATCTACAACGCGATTGTCAAGAGCATAGTAACCTACGGGTGTGAAGTACCTATGGCCGAAGTATGGCCGGGCCAGCGGACCCGGGAGGTTTTAAAGGCAACAGAGATGGACTTCTGGCATAGATCCGCTGGTATTTCCTGAAAGGATCGCGTCAGGAATGAGACGGTACGGGAGATCATGGATGCCAAGCAGACCATCGTGCATGACATTATGACAACTCATCAGGTATATCAACTCATTAGGTATGGTCATGTCCAGAGAATGGCAGGAGACAGGTTGCCGAAGGAGGTCCTTGATTGGGTTCCTCCTGGGAGAAGACGCAGAGGGCGCCCAATGAAAGGTTGGAGGGAGGGGATTGAAGCAGAAATGTTAAGGTGCTTAATGCCTTAAGAATAGTGGTTTGAAAGAGAGCAGTGGAGGTTAGGAGTCGTAGAGCGCGAGGGAGTGCTGTAAAGCAACTTATATGTATATGTATGTATCTCATTTTTCAGGCGTTCTAATTTAGCTATGAACATGAAATTTGGCAGGAATATATTTGAGTGTGTCTAGAATGAGGAAAATTTGACATTATAGTCCAGTCGGCCATTTTACCCTTGCTGTTGGCCGTCATTTTGAAAATTAGGGGTTCAGCGCCGTTTCTCCGCGGTTTATCAGATTCTCGCGGCTGCGTTGCAATGAGATGTATGAAATTTGGCAAGAATATGCATAAATATGTCGAGAACAAAAATCTATCGAGACTCAAGTTCAGTCGGCCATCTTTATCCTGGCTAATGGCCGCCATTTTTGAAATTAACAGCCCATAGTCCTGATCCTCCGCGGTTTCTCAAATTTGCGCGGCTGTTTTGCATCTGGACGCGTAAATTTTGGCAGGAATATCCATGAGTGTGTTGAAAATAGAAAGTCATCGAAACCCAAGTTTGGTCAGCCATTTTACCGCCGAACTTGACCGCCATATAGGAAGTAAGCTAATTACCCTGTTACTTTGAGGTTTGTCGGATTTCCGGGGCTGTTTTGAAGCTAGATAGGCACACCCACAATTAAGTTGAAAGTACAAAAACGTCAAGACCCTAGTTCCGCCGTCCCTTCACCTATGTTATTAACTGCCATTTTGGAAGTAGAGTACCATTTACTCAACTCCAACTGACCGACCCCATTTCTGTATGTTTCTCAGATTTTCGCGGCAAAGTTACCGCCAGATGGAAGAACATATTTCACATTGTCATTTTACCAACTCACAATGTGAAATATTTTACCAACTGACAATAAGAAATATGTTCTTCGATACGCCAATTCCAATTTCCTCGAACATAGGGCCAAAATATTGTAAAAATAGTGATGAGCCAACTGCAAACGTGCAAGGCTTAACTTGCAGGGCACCTCTCTTTGCACAAATGATGGGCAAGTTGATCCAAAATGAATTTTGAAATCTATCTAAAACATATATCTTTTCTAAATTATCCCAAGATGTAAGGGTTTGATACACTTTTTTACACTTAGTGATAAGAAGGATATTGTTTTGAGTGCGCGAAACAGTAAGTGTGAAAATGTCAACTATATTCTTGGCTAATTTTGGCGCAAACCAAAAAGGTAGTTACAGCAGCCACAAGTCTGCCATGCTAAGGAAGAACGCCGCATGAACCTTCAGGTGTTGCCAAATTTTTTTTCATAAAACGCAAATTTCCTCGTAAATTTATGAATATTTGCCGCCCAATTTTTCGGACAGTTTAGTTCGCAATGTTACCAAAAAATTCTGAAAATATAAAGGAAAAATATTCTTAACTTTCCTGAAAAATAAAGCTTTTATTGAAGGATATGTGTCACTAGGGTGCGTCAAAAAAAAATGAAAGTCTGAAATGTTCCGCTCCCCAGGCAGTAATCGATGACGTTTGCTGAAAAAGCATGTTTGCCAAAATTAGGGTCAATTTCAACCATTTTAACTGGTACCAAAGGTCAATTTTGTGATGAAATTATGATAATTAGGTTTAGACCTCGATTTCATACAAAAAACTCGATTTTACGCTGAAATCGTGCGTTTACGAGAAAAATGCCACATTACTCAAGTTGTAGAGGATGGAATTTTACTCTAAGAAGACGTCTTTGTGAACGATAAAAATCAAATTGAACTAGAAAAACTCACCTCAGTATTTATTTTTTTGGTCCTCAGAATTTCCCAGGTCTCACAAAGTAGCGGTTTAAAAGGCTCATTTTTCACGTAAATAAGTCGAAACAGGGTATAAATGAACTGTAGGCAAGTGTTGAGGATGCAAATGTCATCGGAACTTCCTCAATTTCAAAACAAGTTCCAACTATTTTGCACAATCCTCCAAAAAGTGTACGGCTCGAGAAGCAGGATCGTGCTATAATAGTAAGGAAGAAGTGCGGTTTGACCGGGGAAAGTTGCGTCACAAACTTTCCTTATGTAATCGTCATCAGTAGATCCTCCTGAACGACTTTCTAAAAGTTAAAAATGGTTTGACCCCGGAACACCCCTCAAAGTACTTAAAATTGAAAATGGCGGCCGTAATGAGGAGGTCCGGGTAATCGGTATTTTAAAATCCTCATTCTGTCTCATGTGAGGTATCATTTCCTAAGTAATTTTGGTCGTAGATTTCATAAATGAACTCCGCAAGGCCCCCCAGTCAAAGAGGGCGCTGTAAATCAAAGATGGCGGTCAAATGTGAAAGGCAGGAGGTTGCATTTTTTTAAATATTCATCAAAGGAACAAGGAAAGTGAAGTGTCTCTATTTTCATGTATTTATGGCCAAGAAACCTAAATTTGATGTTATAAATGTATTTAATAGAGGAAATTAAAATAAATATACGAATACGGAGAGAAACGTAAGCTCAGAAGCATGTTCGCACTTTTATGAGTTAATGAGTTAATGTATGTCAACAGATACTCTCTTTCAATTGTCGTGCGTGTTCACCGTTCTTTAGCAATCCCTGCACACATGATTTATCCTGTTTTCTTCCATCAATGTATTATTACTACACATATCATAAACTTAATCTTGAATTCGAGACGCTTCTCTTGATGGGGGGGGGGGATATGCCTTCATTTATGAAGTTTACGACTGTATTTACATAGAAATGAAGAACTCTTGCGCTAATTGCCTTGTTCCTTTGGTGAATATTTAAAAAAATGCAACCTCCTGCCTTTCACATTTGACCGCCATCTTTGATTTACAGCGCCCTCTTTGACTGGGGGGCCTTGCGGAGTTCATTTATGAAATCTACGACCAAAATTACTTAGGAAATGATACCTCACATGAGACAGAATGAGGATTTTAAAATACCGATTACCCGGACCTCCTCATTACGGCCGCCATTTTCAATTTTAAGTACTTTGAGGGGTGTTCCGGGGTCAAACCATTTTTAACTTTTAGAAAGTCGTTCAGGAGGATCTACTGATGACGATTACATAAGGAAAGTTTGTGACGCAACTTTCCCCGGTCAAACCGCACTTCTTCCTTACTATTATAGCACGATCCTGCTTCTCGAGCCGTACACTTTTTGGAGGATTGTGCAAAATAGTTGGAACTTTTTTTGAAACTGAGGAAGTTCTGATGACATTTGCATCCTCAACACTTACCTACAGTTCATTTACACCCTCTTTCGACTTATTTTCGTGAAAAATGAGTCTTTTACACCTCTACTTTCTAAGACCTCGGAAATTCTGAGGACCAAAAAAATAAATACCGAGTTGAGTTTTTCTAGTTCAATTTGATTTTTATCGGTTACAAGACGTCTTCTTAGAGTAAAATTCCATCTTCTACAACTTGAGTAATGTGGCATTTTTCTCGTAAACGCACGATTTCAGCGTAAAATCGAGTTTTTTGTACGAAATCGAGGTCTAAACCTAAATATCATAATTTCATCACAAAATTGACCTTTGGTACCATTTAAAATGGTTGAAATTGACCCTAATTTTGGCAAACATGCTTTTTAGCAAACGTCATCGATTACCGCCTGGGGAGCGGAACATTTCAGACTTTCATTTTTTTTGACGCACCCTAATGTGCCAACTCTCGAATGTTCATACAGCGTTCTTCCTTAGCACGGCAGAAGTGTGGTTGAATCAACCATACCTCTGGCTGTAGAAACCCTACCTCCTGCTGCCGCTGAAATCAGCCAGAAACTAATGTATTTGAAAGTATCACACTTCTTTTCCCACATATTGCTTCTATTATCCATAAAATAATCTTTTCCCATCGAAGTTTGAACGAATTTAACTCTAATATTTGTGTTTTTATCTTTCTTTCTTTCTACTTGTTTTTCTTCTTTTTTAATTGTGATTCTGAGCATTTAATATTGTCAAATAACACCATCAATCTAATTTTTCCTATGTTGACCGATTTAACCAGAATCAGCGCAACAGCCTTTCAACTTGCCTTATTTGCTCTCATGTTTTATTTTCATTACAAAAAATTAGGAATCATAGCGTATCAAAGCTCTCCCCAATAATTTTTCACTAACCTTTAAAGGTGATATTCACAAAATTTCAAATCAGAAGATTCTTTAGCTTTCTAATCGAAAGATAAAACACGAGAAGCCATTTTACCTCTAAACGAATGTCTTCATGTTTCGTATTTTCAATTATATTCGAGGGTATTCCTGCCAAATTTCATACATTTGGCTGCTACAGGGCAACACCAAGTCTGAGATACCTCGGAAAAACACAAATTGTCTGCTCATTTATTCTCAAAATGGCGGCCATTAACCGGGGTAACAATAACTGCATTTAAATCTCAGGATTTTTGGGTTCCTTCGATATTTACACGTGCCCATTCCAAGTTTCATGCAGAAAGTTGTAAAATAGTCACGAAAATCCGACAAACCTCGGAGGAACAGGGCAATTAGCTTACTTCCTATATGGCGGTCAAGTTTGGCGGTAAAATGGCTGACCAAACTTGGGTCTCGATGACTTTCTATTTTCAACACACTCATGGATATTCCTGCCAAAATTTACGCGTCCAGATGCAAAACAGCCGCGCAAATTTGAGAAACCGCGGAGGAGCAGGACTATGGGCTGTTAATTTCAAAAATGGCGGCCATTAGCCAGGATAAAGATGGCCGACTGAACTTGAGTCTCGATAGATTTTTGTTCTCGACATATTTATGCATATTCTTGCCAAATTTCATACATCTCATTGCAACGCAGCCGCGAGAATCTGATAAACCGCGGAGAAACGGCGCTGAACCCCTAATTTTCAAAATGACGGCCTACAGCAAGGGTAAAATGGCCGACTGGACTATAATGTCAAATTTTCCTCATTCTAGACACACTCAAGTATATTCTTGCCAAATTTCATGTTCATAGCTAAATTAGAACGCCTGAAAAATGAGATAATAATGGAAATCAGCGTATGGCGGCCATCTTGGAAAATGGCGGTCAAAATACGGGGAACCATGGGAGATCCACCTTGGGTCCCGACGGATTTTTATTTTAGGTACCTTAAACTGCATTTTCACCAAGTTTCATGCTGGTAGCCTAATTTTAAATATTTTTACCCGAAGCGACTCCACTATTACGAGTGAGAATACCAAAAATTTGCAGGGTTGCAAGATTTGAACCCAATAAAAACAAGTAATAGGTTTGAAGAATGACAAAGCAGCCATTTTCCGTAATTTAAGTTTGTCATTCTGCAAACTGATGGAGAAAAATAAATCAATTTATTCTATGGTAGGAATTGCATAGCAGAATTAAAAAATTATACCTGTCCCATTTTCTTCTTAAATGAGAGGCAGCAAGAAAATAACAATACAGAAAATTAGGGTACATGGAGACTTATTGTACCTGTAAGAGTAAATTCTCTTCACATCCAAAAAAAAAGAAGAAAAAAAGAAGAATAAAAGGTTTGCCAATGCATTCGATGATAGCTGATGGATAGTGTCAAATAAATATTTAGGTACCAGAGGCAGAGAAAGTTTCATTCAAACTTTACAAATTGCGAACACAAATGGAAATAAAAAAGAAAAATTAAGATTTTGAAAATTCTCTTGGCAGAAATAATTAAGTTCCATGTGGTAAGATAAACTAGCTCATGTAATGAATCGTTCTGACTACCGACCCGATCGTCAACAGGGCACTCCGAAAACAAACCGCATTGGTGCGTTTTTGGGGTGGCTGGTGCTTGTACAAGGTGCTCAATTTTTGCATAGAGGAAAAAAGGAGGTGTTTGCATCTCGGGCATCTTGGATTTTTTTGATGACGTAGGTCGGTACGAACGACTTTTATCATCGATTTTCGTGGAAATGGTGCAGTTTATCAGAAAAAGTCATTCTTTTTAAAGTGTTCAAAATTACATCATGAGTTGATGTAAGCAAAAAGATCAGACGTAAAGGTCCGTTTTTCATACTTCGAATTCCGTATTTTGCTGGCCATGTTGTACCAAGCTACGTCACGAGGTAAACAGTCTCAAGATGCAAGCACCTCCTTTTTTTTCTCTGTGCAACTTTTGTAAACAACAATGGCGGCGAGTTCTGCGCGGGTTTTTTAATTAACGCTAATGTGTATCTGAAGTGACGCCGCGCATTGCAGTTTTCGCAGGCAGTTTGTTTTCGGAAGCATTTAAACTGTTGCAACCTTGTTTTTATAATTATTTCGTAACTTCAGTCGTTGAAATGCTAAGAATAATTTACTTTAAACGTCAATTGTCAAATTTGTATCTTGTACTTTGAAAAAAAGAATGATTCTTTTTGAAAATAATATCTAAGTAGGTAATGAACCTACAGTGCCTACGAATGGGAGACATTTAATGCACAGGGTTCGCAAATTTTTCTCATGGTCACCAAAAAAAAAGAAGAAAAAAAACTGTTTCTTTTCTTGCTACTTTTTAAGGAATAGTGTATTATAAATTAGTTTCACCTTAAAAAACCCCTAAAAGTCTCGACAATCAGCCTATGAAGGAAAAAAAAGTATGCTAAAGTTTACCAAACGAGGAAGTTTTGAAAAGTTTTGGAAGAACTGTTGGGTCTGACCCTACCTCCTGAAGAAAGGGTTGGAAGTGATTGTGACTGGAGGATATGCTATTATTGGTGCAACAAAGATGCAGCAATTACTGTAATGATTCAGGGAGCTTAGAATTCATATATGCTTGCTCAAGAAAGACCTAGTCTTCTTAAAAAGGCATTAGGAGCTAACTCTACCCTAATCTGCAGGATCCCGATTTGAATCGCTCGTACAGGGAATTAAGTTCTTGATGAAAATTTTAGCACAGTAAAAAAGATTCATTATTTTTGATCGAAAATTCTAAGTTCACCGTGATTACCCGGAGACCAGGATCACACAACCTGAGCTTCAAATATGGTGTAAGGGTCACCAAGAAAAGTAACATACAACAATATGGTCAATCGTCACTTTTGGGCCCAAGTTCAAAATCGAACTTCTTTAACTTATTAGCTCAAAATAGCTGAAAATCCATATTTTCTGTGGTTCTACCTTAGATTCCGACCTGGGCCCAAAGATGATGGGTCACAAGCTTCAAATATGTTGTGAGGGACACTTAGAGAAGTAGTATGCGAGAATATTGTCAACCTCTTTGGGCCTAGGTCGAAATTTGAGGTAGAACCGCGGAAAACATGGATTTTCAGTTATTTTGAGCTAATAAGTTAGAAAAGATTGATTTTGAACTGAAGCATAAAGGCGACGGGTGATCATATTCTCGTATTGTACGTCTCTAGGCGTCCCTTATACATATTCGAAGCTCATGACCCGTCACTAGGGTGTCCCAAATTTGAACCATCCAACAAGATCTCTTTGGATGGTTCAAATTTGGGACACCCTACCCGTCACTTTTGGGCTCAGGTCTGAGGTAGAACCGCGAAAAATGCTAATTTACAGCTATTTTGGGCTCTAGAGCCATGCTTACGTCCCTATTTCGGAGCCAAAAAATGTAGGTATCGGCAATACCCGACTATTTCTGTAAAATAGGCATCGTTGACTACCAAATATAAAAAAAAAATTCCGACTCCGTGGAGAGGCCGATTTCGGCCAAAATCGCAACTCCTCCTTTGCAATCAAATTACTCCAGCTCTATTCTCTCTTGGAACAATCCGCTAATTTTAAGTGACGGTCGGGCAAAGTACACCAAATTTTTAGTGACAATTTGGTGTTAAAGTAGCCTGAAAATGCCTAAAGGGGGTTGAATGCTTCAAAATTTTCAAAGGGAAGCCCTTGGCCTCACGACCACCTTTTATCTTGAAGAAAATTCCGTACTTCCAGGAACCCTTGGTCGAGGTGAAGCTGAGATAGGGGCCTGAGTTAAGCCCCCTAAAAATGCTACAATGCCTATTCCTGTGATACAAACCCCTCTTTCTTCTACTTTGATAAAACCTAACGAATACGGCCTAGTCTGTCGGTTCATGTCGAAGAAGAAGAAAAATGCGCAAATGCAGAGTCCATTCATTCAAGGTTCCTCCTTTATTTTTGATCGACTCATCTCTCATACATAATCCGTCCACATCGCAGCTTACACCTTCTGACACTGCTGATATAGTGCTGAATGAGCAATAGAAATGAAAATATAGGGAAACCTCACGGTCACACCTGCCGCAACGAGAGGAGAAGAAAAGGAAAAGATAAGAACCAGGAAAACGTGGGAGTCTCTATACAGGCGATAGGTAAGTTTTCAATTAAGAGTGTGTGCATGGACCATTTTTCTGTGGTCACCAAAGCGGAGCACTATGGTGTATGCCGGGTTACGGAAAACCATTTTTGCAGGAACAACAATCCCATTCGTACATCTCTGGAAAACCTCAAAAATTGTTGAAACATTTTGAAGTTTAAAAATTACTTAGCAGTTGCTCCATTGATCTAAAAAAAATTTATGGTCATGATTTTTCTTAGAGAGTCGTGACATATCTACGTAATTCATATAGGTATTTTGTGGTCATATTCTGTTCCAGTCAATATGACATATATTATGCTTCCTGCCCTCCTTGGCCCCCTTCACTCCAAAAAAAAGTCCTTCGTTGTCACCACTCCCTCAAAGTTCCTAGAGTTACCTGTATTTTCAATTCTTAATTCTAATTAGTTGGGAAAGGAGACCAAAAATATTTTTGTTGATGCATTGGGACTTACTGACGTAAAACATTAATGAAGTCATAAGCTTCATACTTAAAAAAGAACTGTTTTACTATTTTTTAAAGGTGCGCCTAAGGTAATTGTCAGGTGAATATCTACCGGAAGTATGCAGCATCTCGGGTTACATTCGATGATCGCTTGAAACACTCTCTCGTTAGGCGCAAAAGTTACAGCGTCATATACTTAAATATTTACTGAAAGTATGTTCAGAATTTCTGGTTACATTGGGTGATTGCCGGAAACGCTCTCTTATTGGCGCAAAAGTTAGAGCATGAAGTGAATATTTACCGGAAATATTGATGACAAAACTACCAGACCACGTACCTAGGTTTGCAATGTTGTGGACTTCCTCTTGTATTTAATTTTTTAGAGGAATGACTACTCAAAGTTAAATTAAAAAAAATTTGAGCATAACCCTGAGCATTGAGCACTTCCCATCTGTAGGTAATGTAGGTTCATTATCTATTTAGTTATTATTTTCAAAATGGATCATTCACTTTTTCAAAGTACAAAATTTTGATAATTGACGTTTAAAGTAAATTATTCTGAGCATTTCAACAACTGATGTTACAAGATAATTGTAAAGAATAAGATTGCAACAGTTTAAAAGCTTCAGAAAAATAACCACCTGCGAAAACTGCACTGCGCGGTGTGGTGTCAGATACACATCAGCATCAATTAAAAAAAACCCGCCCCAAACTCGCAGTCATTGTCATTTACAAACATTGAGCACCTCTAACAAGCACCAGCCACCTCAAAAATGCACCAATGCAGTTCGTTTTCAGGGTATCCTGTTGAGAGCTGGTCATCAAGCAGAAAAACCCCTGATGAAATAGATATTAATGTGCAATGAAACTGTAATACTATTATTATGAAAAAGTCTGGCAAGGAGAAAGTCAAATTCTTGCGAGAAAATTAAAAAAAATTATGATTGAATAAACATAATAATTCAGACTTATGTTGAGAGTGTGGAAAGTGATGGGGGTTCATGAAGGTAGTTAGAGAAAAAGCATATAACATTACCATTTTTGTTGGCTTTTGTGGCATGAACAATAAGAGCGTGAGGATGCCCTCCTCGGATTTCTGGTCCTTCGTCATTTGGTCCTTTATGAACGAGCCACTTGACTACATCTAATTCAGCAAGAGGGGATTCTGGCCTCCCATTTGCTTCTACCAAAACAGGTTCATTCCTCCTTGGTTCTGATCTGGTCACACAAGAACAGATTCGGTAAAAAGCTTTTTGGGCAGAATTAAATTAACACATATTGATACCCAATTAAGTTTAGCAATGCGCTATTGGATATGTCGAGGAAAATATGCAGAATCTGAAGAAGAAGAAAAGAAGTTTTCAACATAGAAATCAGAAACAGAACAGGCTCACTGGAATCAAGTAGAGCGAAAAAGTTTAAATGAACTGGACAAATAGCAGTAAAGAACTGTGGGTGGGCAAGAATAACAAGAGACTGGTCACCTACAGGAAACAGGAGCAAAAGTATAATAAAGAGGACATGGCAAGATGAGATCATCGAACAAACCGGAATGGGTTGGAAAAGGGAGTGTTGAACTTTGATTGTAATGTTTTCCTTGTTGATGTTTATTTTACTTGTCAATGTCATATACATGAGCTTGACTCTTGCTTGTTTTCTTTTCCAAATAAACTGCACTCGGTTACAGCATCTCTTGGAGTAAGTGTCTCTTATCCCTCTCCTACCGACAGGTTATGGGCCTACAAGTCTAACGCGAATGCGAAGTGCCGGTTAAGAGAATATGGGTGGAAAAAATTCTAAGACGAAAGAAGAAGATAGAAGCGTAAATAATATTGCCCCTGTGCAGACAATCAGAGTTGATAATGAGATGAACGATCTAAGCACCCATGACATTGTACTTTATGTACTCGTGATCCTCCTAGCGTCGATATTAATATTTTTCGGAATAACGGTTTGGTGTCGACGAAATTCGAAAAAACGCGCGCGATTAGAAAGACAAGTTGAAGAACTCCAAGCATTGAGAGATGAAGTTTCGGCTTTAAAGAAATGTGTGTCGCAGAAATAAATTTTGTGCGGAAAATTGATTCTCAAGCATCGTATTAAAATAGGAACTTTTGAAATATCTCTTTGTGTATTGTACGGAAAAATTTTAGTGTACTGTACTGACAATTTTGTGTATGTGAACAATAATTTTTTTTATTAAAAAAGTGATGAATACGATAAATAAAAATTTATCATGGAGGAATTCATAAAAATCGAAAGGCTAAAGGGAAAAGAAACATTCCAGTTGTGGAAATTACAGATTAACGCGATTTTCAAATCCCTTGGATTACTGAACATTGTTCGAGGAAAATATGCCAGGCCAGAAAGTAAAGTAGATGAAATGGCTGAGTGGGACAAAAAGGACGGTGCAGCCCAGAAGTACATATTGACCACAGTCGATAAGCGTTTAATAACACATATAATGAATTGTGAAACAGCGGAAGTTATGATGAATAAATTACAAGAAATTTTTGAAAAAGGCGACACGAAGAAGAAATGCACCCTCATACAAGAATTTTATGAAATCAGTTACAACAAAAGTGACTCAATTTCAGAATATATAAGTAAGGTGGAAAATCTGGCACAGAGGATAAACGGTATCGAAGAAAATTCAATTAAGGATGATATGATAATTGCCAAGATTTTAACAACGTTGCCAGAAAATTACGAACCCTTTGTTTCAGCTTGGGAATCAACTGAAATCAAACAACAAACACTCACAAATCTGACTTCCAGACTGATGGGCGAAGAATTGAGAAAGAAGAAGCAAAGGAACGAGAAGGACGAGACAATCACTGAGACGCCTACAGCTTTTACAGTGAACTCAGGAAGAGGCAGAGGCTGTTTCAACTGTGGGAAACCTGGACATAAATGGAGATCGTGCAGATCACAGAAGAATTTAGACAAATCCTGGAGAAGTGAAGATGGATCAGATGGAAACAGACAGAACGAGCCACATCAGAATTTCCGGTCAAAGCACAGAGGCTCTCGAGGTGGCTGGCGCGGATTCTCGAGAGGAAGAGGCTATGGCAGAGGTAGAGGTCGCGGTTACTACAGAGCAAATCATGCAGAGATGCCAACTAACACACCAAATGATGAAGAAGCAATAGCGTTTATGACGGGTAACTTGAAGGCAACAGAAACTGTAAGTCAGAATGATCATGTTATTTTCTTGATGGACTCTGGATGTACGAATCACCTCGCGAATGATAAAAGTTTGTTTAGAGAAATTGAAATGTTTAAGAATCCTGTAAAAATATCTGTAGCAAAACAAGATGAATATATGTGTGCATGGGGAGTTGGTACCATAGAAGTTTTAAGTGTTCTAAATGGAAAAGAGATAAAATGTGTATTCATGGATGTTTTCTACACACCAGAGGCTAGAAAAAATCTATTATCAGTAAAAAAATTAAATCTTGCTGAAATTAAAGTATCTTTCGAAGATGGAAAAGTGAAAATGTTCAAAAAGAATGATTTATTTGGTATGGGTGAAGTGAAAAACTTATTTGAAATACAATTTAAGAGAATTAAGTATGAGTCTATGAATGTAGAAAATCAAACTGATTCATCAGATATGTGGCATCAGAGATATGGCCACTTAAATCAACAATATCTCAAAATGCTGCAACAGCAAAATATGAGACATGGTCTGGAAAATGAAGTCATAAATAAGCTGTGTTTTTATGAAGCGTGTGTTGTTGGAAAAGCGACTAGGTCACCATTCAGTGAGAGAAGGAGAAGCAAAAGAATCTTAGAAATAGTACATTCAGATGTATGTGGCCCCATCACTCCCACAGCACATGATGGAAGCAATTATTTTGTATCTTTTATTGATGATTATACCAGTTTTGTAATAACGTATATGATAAAAAATAAGAGCGAAGTTTTTGAATGCTGAAAACAATATGCAAGTATGGCTCAGGGTAAATTTAATCGAAAAATAAGCACATTAAGGTGTGACAATGGTGGAGAATACATTTCTAATGCATTTAAGGATTTTTGCAGTAATGGGACTTTTATTGACTATACTGTGAGATACACCCCTGAGCAAAATGGTAAATCTGAGAGAATGAATCGTACTTTAGTTGAGAAAGCCAGGGCCATAATGCATGATTCTAAAGTTCCAAAATACTTATGGACTGAAGCAATAAGAACAGTAACATATTTAACAAATAGGAGTCCAACAGCTGCAAATCAAAATTATCTTACACCTGCTGAGTTGTGGTTTGGAGACAAACCAGTGATAAAAAATTTAAAAATTTTCGGTTCAACAGCTTATGCCCATGTACCCAATGAGTTAAGGAAAAAGTTAGACGGGAAAGCTATTAAGTGTGTAATGGTAGGTTATGCACTGACAGGTTACAGACTGTGGGACCCGAACACAAATTCCATTATCGTCTCGAGAGACGTAATATTCAATGAAACTGTATTTTATTATAATGATGACACTGTGAAAATAAGATTAAATGATAATTTAGATGAAAAAATTGTACAAAATAAGGATGAAAAGGAAACCAAAAGGGATAAAATGGTAGAGGACAAGATTGAGCCAAAGACAGATGAAGGCACTTATGAGAGACCGAAAAGACAATTAAAATTACCAAAGTTTTTAGAAGAGTATGAACTTTTTATGGCAATGATGGCATTTGATACAAATGATGTACCGTTGAACTTTAAAGATGTGGCAGGAAGAAAAGGTGAAGCTAAATGGTTAAAAGCTATAGAAAAAGAGCTTGATTCTATTGAAAAACAACAGACATGGGAAGAAGTCAAAGTAAATGAGAACATGGAGATTGTGGATACAAAGTGGGTTTTTGCAAAGAAATCAAGTGAAAATGCTGAAAGTGTTTACAAAGCGCGACTAGTAGCTCGTGGTTTTGCGCAGAAAGAGAGTTTTGATTACAATAACATTTATGCCCCTGTAGCTAAGATGAGTACTGTTAGAATGTTTTTAACTATAAGTTGCATGTACAACCTAAATATTTTTCAACTAGATGTTAAAGGAGCATTCCTAAATGCTGTTCTAGAAGATGATGTTTACATTTTTCCTCCAGAGGGAGTCAAATGTAAAACAGGGCATGTTTTGAAACTTAAAAAGGCACTGTATGGTATAAAACAAGCAAGCCGTTGTTGGAATGGACAGATAAATGATTTTATAATTAGCCTAGGTTTCATGCGATCATTAAATGATTTCTGTTTATACTATATTAACATTGCAGATAAGGTAATATATTTAGTATTATTCGTGGATGACATTGCAATGGCAGGAAATGATCAAAAACTGATGGAATATTACAAGGATAAATTAATGAGAAAATTTAGCACGACAGACAAAGGTGAATTAAAAACATTTTTAGGTTTGGAAATAGAGTATGATAAGCTAAATGGAGTTATGAAAATAAAACAAGAAAAGTATATCCTGGAACTTCTGCGAAAATTTAACATGGAAAATTGTAATTATGTTTCAACTCCAATGGAACCTGGATTAAAAATCTCTAAAACTGACACAGGAAAAGGAAGTAAAGAATTGAAAAAAACCGTGAGAGAAATGATAGGATCTTTAATGTTTTTAATGTTGGGAACTAGACCTGACATAAGTTATGCAGTAAATTATGTTTCTAGGTTTCAGGAAAATGCAACCGAAGAAATTCTAATAATTTTAAAACGAATATTTCGTTACTTAAAAGGTACAACAAAAATGGGTCTAATTTTAAAGAGAGGAAATGATGAAAGTCCATTAAAATGTTATGTTGATTCGGATTGGGCTTCTGATATAACAGACAGAAAATCTGTGACTGGGTCTTTCATGAAAATTTATGGAAACTCAGTGACATGGGTCACAAGGAAACAAAATATTGTAACTCTTTCTAGTACTGAAGCTGAACTTGTTGCTTTATGTTCAGCAGTGCAGGAAATTGCATGGTTTAGGAGGTTACTAGAGGATTTTGGAGAAAAGCTAGAGGCAACAACAGTATTTGAAGATAATGAATCTTGCATTGTTATCGCTGAGACACCTGCGAATAACCGTAGAATTAAGCATTTAGACATTAAGTATCATTATGTCGCTGATAAGATCAAAGAAAAAATAATCTGCATAAAAGGCATTAATACTAAATATCAACAAGCGGATATTTTAACCAAAGCTTTACCAAAAATTAGTTTTCTAAAAGGAAGAG